GAATAAAAGCCGTGATCTTGGCACAAGTTCTGTTGCAGAACAGGAAGTGAAGGAGACAACCAAGATGAATGCTTCCAATGAAAATGTGAATTTATTTTCCACAATCTTGGTGTATGTGCTAGCTCCCATGGGAAATGAGGACACTGACCAAGGGATCCCTGGATCAGAACCCCTTCCTACTCATGCTACTCCTCAGTGCACATTCACTGTGGACTTTAAAAGGTTCCAAACAAAGATAAAGATGCCCTTGGTGTCCCCCACCTCAGAGGACAACTAGGAATCCTAATCCTCCAGCCCAAACTGCATTCTATGTTGGGGGCAGGGAGGGGGGGTCTATCAGAGATTGATAAGAATTAATATTTTAGCTAATTTAGGAAATCTTGGATTTGTCTAAAACCAAGGCAGGTGGACCTCATTCCTGAGAATTCCTTGATGGATTATTTTTCATTTTGAATTGCAATTATTATTCTATCAACATAGAAGCAATAAATAAATAAATAAAATTTTAAGAAGTCAGAGGCAAAGAATATAGGGAAGTGACATTCCAGAGGTCTCAGCATGCTGGGAGACACAACAGGTAGCCACAAGCACAAATGTAGAATGACCTGCCCTGCCCTCAAAGATGAGAAGAGGTTTAGCCCCATCAAACTCAATGGCCACTGAACTTCCAAATCCAAGTGTATCTGATTGCATTTTAAATCTGTTGTTTGGCTGTACAAACAGACTTTGCTATCTTCACTCTTTCAACAAATACTTCCTGAGCCAGGTGCACTAGGCTGGCACTGGGAATAGAGAGATTGTGTGTGTGTGTGTGTGTGTGTGTGTGTGTTTTCTCCATTCTTAAGAAGCTCAGTTTACTGAGAATTACAGATAAGAAAGTCAACAGCTACACTGATAAGTGCTTTGTAACAGCCCTGCAGGGTGTTCTGGGAGGCAGGAGGAAGGTCATCTCCAGGTTGTGGGAGGAGTATACAGGAGAGCTGGAGGAAAATGGAACTCAGTCACCTAGATGAGGAGCAGGGGTCAGGTGGTTCCCAGGAGAGGACCTAGCACTGGCAAAGCCACCAGAGCTGATGGCTGTTGGTGGCTGGGCTGAAGCTGGAAATGTGGGTTAGGGAAAAAGTGGAATGAGGAAGGTGGCCAAAAGCCAGGTTATAAAAAAGCTCACAGAAGGGGATTTGGCTTTTATTCTGTAAGAACCGGAGCCCTTAGAGAGTCTTAAATAGAAGAAAACCATGATGAGATAGGTGAGTTAGAAACAACATGTTGACAAGAGTGTGTGGTGGAATGAAGGAGGATAAAGATGGGCAGGATGACCAATGGAGGAGCTACTGTAAAAAAACAAACAAAAAACAAACAACAACAAATATATATATAATACATGAATATATATATATATATATATATATATATATGTGTATATGAGTGTGTATATATCTATATATCTTCAAATAATGAATCCTAAACAAAGGAGTTGGGGGAGAAAAGAAAAATGACTCCAAAAAATCAGAAGAAGGACTTTTCAGGACATAGTACTCAGTGGAATATGACAGACGGGGGGAAGGACAAGTCATGGATGATTCCTGAAGTAGAGTCAACTGAAGGGGCACAGACCAAGGCCAGCACCTTGGGGAGCAAGGCAGAGGGGGCACTTAGGGTAGGGCAGGGAGGAGACTGAGGTGCGGGTCCTGGGTGAGGTTCTGACTCTGAGGCAGGCCAGTGAGGCTGCAGGGCAGAGAGAGCAATTGATGAGTTCACCCAGGAAACACCAGGGAGGACCTAAGAGGGACCAAGCTAAGGACAAAGAAGACAGAACAGGCCAAGCAAGCCTCAGAGGTCAGGGTCTATGAGGTTGGAGGAGAACCAGAAGACAGCAGATCAAGCCACACAGGAAGGCCAGAGATGAGGCCTCAGGGGGGAGCCCTGTTTGGAGGGAACAGTTGGAAAAAAGGAAAAGTTGAGGGCTCAGCTGAGAAAGCTGTAGTCACTCCAGAGGTTCCTGTTTCCTCCAACATGCGTGCTGCTGTCTGGCTCCACTGGTCAGAGAGGCCTTTCCTGACCACCTCCCAGCTCCATGGGTCTCATTGCTCTCCACCCCACACCAACTCCTCTGGCCCCCGTGGGGTGGGCTTGAGGTCACATTACACATCTCATCTACCTAGGGTGTCTGCCTCCTGACAACAGACCTGGTCCTGTGTCACCTCTGCAACTGCGGAACTGAGAGCAGTGCCTGGCACACAAAGGCTGAGCACCGAGTCCTAAGTTACCTGATTCATTAGAAGCAACAGATAAATTAGTGAACGTACACACTCCATGTTCAATTCTGCTCTAGGCACTAGGGATGCAGTGAGACCACCTAACAAGACCTTGCCTCTGAGGCTTGAAGTTGGAGATGAGCTTAGAAAAACAGCAAGTATTTAAACAAACAAACAAACAAAAAACCACATTGCAATTGCCATAGAGTTAGGGTTGGAATCTGCCTCTCAAGCCTTCTAACGACATTTGCTGTCCAAGCCCATCTTCCACTTTCACCAAATTGAAGGACATTTTGGCTTCTTTCACCCTTTAAAAGACTCTTAGGATGTGGAAACACCCACTATGGCCTCTCAATTTTTAACCTGAAGAGCTCGATCTACCTCTACGTAAGTGGGAGGAGATATTCCAGACTTAGGTGACATAAAACAGGGAATGCCATAAACCAGGGGTCATATAGAACTATGTTCAAATCCCTGTGACCTTGGGCCAGTTATTCAACCTCTTAATGACTTGATTTCCTTACTGCTGAAATGGGAACACTAAATCTCCCATCATAGGTCATTGTAAAGATGAAATAAAATGACACACACAGAGCACTTAGCACTGTACTTGGTACACAACGAGTGTTTTATCAACAGTGCCGCAACAGTTAACCTACTATACCAACAGTTAACACATTGCTTTTACTGTTAGGTATCCAACTGCTGAATTCAAAAACTACTTAGAATTCAAACCACAGAATGTACCCTTGAAAAACTCAGCACAAATTGATACATCATTGAATGACTTGATGAATTGTCTCAAATCCCCTGTACTTTTAAGTACTCTACAGTAAGAAGTTTTATATGAATTTTTGGTCCACTCCATTGTTTCCTCCAGTTTGTGTAAATGCAACTATTTACCCAACAGATCACATCTTGTCTCATGGCAAAAGTCCAAACATGGGCCAAATTCCATGGTGCAAGTTGTAGCAGAGTTATGAACACCACACCTCAAAGGGAGCCTTAAGAACACAATCACAAGCCCAGTGTACACACAAACTCCAAACATAGCTTGGCTCCAAAGAAGGCAATAAGAACTGGTCACAGCATGTTCTGCCTGCCTCCAAAGGGAAGAAATGTCACTCTGACATGCAAACACTTAAATCTTACATGTCTACCTTCTTTGACTTCCCCAATCTCCATGAGTGGTATATTTTAGAAATATCTCCATTCTTTATCTCTCAGTGATGTCTGACCCCATGCAAGCTGGCTTCTTCCCCTCTCATGACATGACAGTCCTCAAGGCACAAATTCAGCACTTTTCCTTCAGATCCCTTCTGTCTGGTCTCTGTTGTCCCAACCTCTTTCATTCCTGGGACTCTCTCCTCCAGGGCCTCTGGGTCTCTTCCACCCTCTTCCTCCCATCCTGAAGTTATGCACATTTCCCCAGAGTCAGCCTTCTGCTCATCTTGGAGACAATTTATTTAAAACTATGGCTTCCATCTGAATATCCAGACTTCACCTTCTCAGTCTAGGCTTCAATCCTGCATTTGTGGTTATCTACTGGACATTCCCTATGGATCAATCCTGATATCCTGAATTCAACACATCTAAAGCCAGATGCATCTACCACCCCTTTCCAACCCCAACATCCACACTTCTGTCAACGATACCATTGTGAACCCAACTAAATTTAAATTTTCATCTTCTTTGACTCCTGTCTTTAAAAAGATTGAAAATGTGATTGGTTGCTCCTTGACAACATCTCTTCTATAGTTCATTTAATCTCATTACTATTAGCCATATGTCCTCATGTAGGGATTGCTGCTATTGCTTTCTAACAGATCCCCATGCCTCTTGCCCAGCTACCAAGTGAATGTTTCTAAAACATCACCTCAGTTGTTTTACTTCTTTGCTCAAAATAACTTAGATGGGTTCCTACTGCCTTCAGGATAAAGTCTAAGTGCCTTAGCCTGGCACTCAGGGTCTAGAAAGGAGTTGACAAACTACAGCATGCAGGCCAAACCCAGACCACCATCTGATTCTCTAAAGTTTTGCTGGAATGAACTCATACCCATTCATTTACATATCATCTATGGCTGCTTTCATTCCACTAAAGCAGAGCTGAATAGCTATAACAGGAAGCCAGAAATATTTAGCATATGGTTCTTTATAAAAAAAAAAATATATATATATATATATATATATATATATATATATATATATATATATATATATATAGAGAGAGAGAGAGAGAGAGAGAGAGAGAGAGAGAGAGAGAGACAGACTGTGGGCTAGAGTAATCATATGCCAGTAGATCCTGCCAAAGTCCTTGCCCATGACTCCTTTGCATGAAGCTTTTGCTCCTTTGGGTCCATCGCTGAGCTCACTTTCTTCATGTCCTACACACATGTTCTCAAGCTCTGAAAATTTTAACCCACTCTTCCCTGGATATTTTCCAAACTACTTTTATTTTCAAAACAAAACCAAAGCTCTGCCTCTCTATGACGACAACTGTATTTGTCCCTTGTAACCCTGGATTATCCTTACCTCCAGCCTCCCTCTCTGCATCTACCACAGAAACCTACAGAAAGATTCCATTTCTCCTGTGTATACTTTTCACCTATTCTATAGGTTTCTCTAGGGTTCAGGCTTGGGAACTTCTGTAGAGCACCTACCTGCTAATGATACCTGCCTTGCCTTTCATGCCAAATTGCAATTCTCAATCGCATAATTTGGTAAGAAGGGATCAAACAAACTTACCAATGAAGGCCTAGGATTCCACATTTGAGTAGTCGAGGTTGGATCCAAAAGCATACACTCTAGCCCACACCACCTAAAAGCCAATGAAATAGAAAGTTTAGCTTTTAAAGAAAATATTTAGACATTTTCTTTACATTCACAATGTGCATTAAGTTTTGAATGACCATTCTCCTAGGGTGCCCATGTTTGTTTCTTTGCCTAGAAAAATCCCTACTTATTCTTCAAATTTATTACATAGTTGTTCCATGGAAGCCTCCTGGGTGTCCCAGGCAGGCCAAGTAGCCCCTCTTCTCAATTCCCATTGAACTCTGGTAACACACGTGGTAAAACACATGGCATAATTTCTTGTTTAGAAATGAGGGTCTCTAGATTATAGACTTTCCAAGACAAGGGGCCTGTTTAATTCACCCAACCCCTTATCCCTACTGTCCAGAATACCAAAGGCATTTAAATGGTCCTCAATAAGTATTTGTTTTAAAAAAAAAAAAAGTGGAAAAATAACCTACTCAATTCATTATTAACACATGCTTGGGTAGCTAAGCTTCTGTTAGGCCACAATTTTCACCACAGAAATGCATGCAGGTCTCAATCCTGTTGCTTTAAATAGGCAACAGTTTACCAGGAAGGATTAAAGAGATCACTCTAAACACACACCTTTTTAATGACACTCCCCTGGGCAGAAACCTTCAGAGGCTCCCAGAATCTAAGGTCAGCCCAACTCCATAGCCAGAATACCAGGCCTGCACCAACTGGCCTGCCCTGACTTTGCAGCCTCACCTGGCCTGGGTTCCCCAGGGGACCCTACCACCAGACAGGTAGAACTGGGAATCAGTCTCCAAACACACAGTCCCCTCTCAGCATTCCCTCTAGTTGGATGTCTTCTCCACTTTCCTCCACACTATCTCCATCTACTGATCCCATTCATTTCAAACATCATATCCCAAATCAAGTTCGTGGTTGCGGGGAGGGAAGAAAAGTGCATTTTTCCTTGCCAATTTTTTATTGTGGCAAAATACACATAACATAAAATTTATAATCATAACCATTTTAAGGGTCAGTTTGGTGGCATTAAGTACAATTGTATTATTATACCATTACTACCACCATCTACCTCCAGAATTCTTCATCTACAAAATAGAAACTCTATATCCATTAAATAATAACTCTTTCCCAAATAAGTCCCTGGCACCCAATAAATTTTAGTAAAATGAATGAATAAATGAATACATAAGTAAATCTGACTCAATCCTCTCCACAGAAGTATTATCTTCTTCTGCACAATTCCCATGGTACAATCTTCACATTTCACATCTTGGATTTATTTTGATGAATTCTAAATGTGTTTTTTTTTCACAATTATATTCTTCTTCAGGGCAGGACCTATGACTTTAATAATAGGCTTAGATCCAAAAGCATGCACTTGGCCTGTCCTCCACGTTGCTGGATCCATTGGTCATGCCTTAATCCTCCTCACCTTGCAGGTATCGACACCAGTTAATTGTTCCCTCTTGCTTGGCCACTCTCTTGATTTCAAGGATAGCTTTCTCTCTTGGTTTTACACCCACCTCTCTGGCTGTTCCTCCTCACCTCACCTCCTGTTTTGGTTGCATCCCTCACTGTCACTCCCTTAGTAATCTCACATAGGTTCATGAATTCAAATATCACTTCCTTGCTGATGATCATGCTCACTCAGATTTCTCCTCAATCTGGACCTCTCTGAACTCCTGATTTGTACACTCAGCAGCCAGTGCCAACGACAGAAGTCAACAAAATAGGAACACTCTGAGACCACTTTAGGGACCTCAAATTTAACATGCTTGACACAGATCCCTGACCTCCCTCTAGACCTGTTCCTCACAGCATCTAGTTTGAAATACCTTTCTTCCCCCAGGACATAGGTTAGAAATTGCTCCTGTTTCCTCTCTTTCTCAATCCATATCCAATCATCACCCAAACTGATTTTTACATTCAAAATATGAACATTCCTCACCATTTCCACCATTACCAGCTTAGATTTTTGCAATCGTCTCCTAACTTAGGACCCTGCTTCTACCCTCAGTGTTGTTCCTACCTCTACCCACAGTCTATTCTTACTAGAGGAGGAAATCTGTTAAAACCTGAGTCACATCATGTCATTCTTTGCTTAAATTCCTTAAAAGCCTAAAGTAGAGCTATACCCTGGGGAAGCTGTGGGACTGTAGGTCTCCAGGGCAGTATCCTTCACTCATCTATCCACTTCTCCACGGCAGTCCTGACAGTACCTCCTTTTTCTGATTTCTCAAAGAATGAAAACTTTTTTAAATAACATTTTTTAATGGACACAATACCTTTTATTTTATTTGTTTATTTTTTATGTGGTGCTGAGGATTGAACCCAGTGCCTCACGCATGCTAGACAAGCACACTACCACTGAGCCACCACCCCAGCACCCCCCCCCCAATGAAAACTTTTAAAAGGAAGGAACATGCAAGCAGTCAGCCTCCCTTTCCAGTTAGGGAATCACAGCAAAGAAGGTATGTGGAATCTGCCACCACTAATAACTAGTTTTCAATGATAAGGCCAGCCTTCCAGAGAATATTTATTTACCCTCTTGGTGGAGGTGAGAACCTTTCTTAAGGCCATCTCCTTCCAGCCTCTGACTGGTCACCAAGTCAGGTTTTCCAAATTGTCTCCAGACCCCCACCCTCACCCCGTCAAGTCCCCATCACCGATGCTGTGGCTAGAGTAAAATGCAAATAGAAATACTCAGGACTAATAAGCTTAGATCTCAGAAGCTCTCCTTGGAGCCCCACTGGCAGTCTCCTAACCAGCCTGCCTACCTCCAGTCACTTATTTCCAACCAAAACCCCATATAGTGTCTGGAGTGATTAAAAAAAAAAAAAAAAACCTAACGTTGATCAAGTTCCCTATTTAAAATGCTACAAAGAGTTCCTGCATTGCTATAGGATAAATTCCTCAAAACCTATTACAGTAAGCCAAGGTAAAGTCTTCTTAATCTTCCCCAAATATATATATCTTCTGCCTTTTTCCTAAAAAGATTTCTTGCCCCAACAGATGGGCCTACAATCCAGCCCACATTAAAATACTTCCATCCCTGGCAGCAGTCACTGACCCAAAGGATAGGCACATCATCCAAGTGGGCCAATCACAGCCTTCCTCTAAAACTAATAGCTAGATGCACAGAAAGGAGCTCCCCTTCACTGGGATTCTAACTGAGCCTATAGGCAGCCATGTCTCACTGGTGCCAACACACAAAGAATAAAGGGGAAAAGGCCCAAAGACAGCTAGCAGTGTCATTTCCCATTTCCAAAGTCCTGCTTCTTTTGTGAACTCCTGTAGCATCCTTCCCAGTGATGGAACCAGTAACAACCCACTTATACCTTGGCTAGAAGGCAGGAATTTTTGCCTTTTTTTTTTCCTTTGCTGAATGCCCTAAGTCTAGGACAGTTCTCAGTATATTGTAGACAAGCATTTGTTGTTGAATAAATGAATGAATAAAACAAGCCCATGTACAAGAGGAAGTGAGGGGAAAGGGAAAAATAATACAAGGGGGACAAATGAATGACAGTAGAGGGGGTAGAGAGAGAAGAGAAGAGGGGAGGGGAGGGGAGGGGAGGGGAGGGGAGGGGGGATAGTAGAGGATAGGAAAGGCAGCAGAACACAACAGACACTAGTATGGCAATATGTAAATCAATGGATGTGTAACTGATGTGATTCTGCAATCTGTATATGGGGTAAAAATGGGAGTTCATAACCCGCTTGAATCAAAGTGTGAAATATGATATATCAAGAACTATGTAATGTTTTGAACAACCAACAATAAAAAATTAAAAAAAAAATAAATAAAAAATAATATAAAATAAAACAAGCCCATGGGCTCCAAGGTCAGAAAGACCTGGTTGAGACCCAGCTTTGGAATTTACTTGCTGCATAGTGTCTCTCTATTCCTTTAGGACTTGTTTTCTTTATCTGTAAAACTGGATAAATAATAGTAGCTACCTCATAGGGATTGGAAATAATTAAGGTCATGAACATAAATCCCTTCACACAGTTCCTGGTAACAGTCCAGACTCCCTGGATGCTAATGGCTATTGTTATCAACTCAAGGCCAGAGGACCAGACCAGGTTTCAGGCCCTGGCAGGGTCATCCGTAGGGTGACATTTCAAAGAAAGGAGTTGAATGGATATTTACGTGCATAAACTATTTCCAGAAGAAAATTGGCCAACACTTAGGTGGTGAGATTCAAGAGCTGCCTCAACGTTCTCTGTAAATTGCCAACGATCAGAGAAACACAACGAGGAGTGCTAGCAGGGGCGAGGAGAAGTGTGTGTGCAGTCTGCAGAAAAGCACCGCTGCTCAGAGAGCACCTCCCAAATGACGAGATACACTTTGTGCCTTTTAAGAAACAATTTTCACAGTGAAGCTCAAGAAGAGAGAGAGAGGCTTCTTACATCATGAGGACAAGGTAATAAGGCTATAAAAATGGAACTCAAATAAACCACACGCAGAGCCCACATGGGCCCAATTTTCCAGGAAAAATAGCGATTGCCACAGCACTCAGATGGGGGAAGTCACACTTGTGTCTCAGCACAGAAAACAGCTTTCAAAAGTCATTAGGCTGCAGAAAAGCCACCGGGTCTGCCAAATTAGCAGTGCCAGCTCTCACCTGCCCCCTCTGTCACACTTGCCTCTTTCCACAGATAAGAGGACAGGACAGTGATGCCCAATGGCTGTTCTTCTCCCTGAGTAAACAGCACCCATGTCAGGAGAGGCCCCCTGCCCTTCTCTCCTTGGCCCCAAACTCTCTGGGCTCACCTGCTGCAACTCTGCAGCCTGGGCCTTGCGGAGAGGCCCCCTCATGGCTCTTACTAACCTCCCTGTCCCACCTCTCCAATCCCTCTCATGGCCATTTCTGCCCCGTCTTTCAGCTCTACACCGTAAATGCTGACATTCTAAGCCTAGAAACATGGTATCTGTCCACTTTTCTGGTCTAGTGCCCATTCTTCCTCACATCAGAGGCAGGAGAGTTTCGTGGTTAGCAGCACAGATTCTGGAGCCACATAAATGGGGTC